AGGGGGGGGGGGGGGAATCTCACTTTGCTTCAGGCTGAGCCAAATGTGGGATTTTTCCGTGTTTTTGGTTTGTTAGCTGAACCGAAAAAATAGTGATTCATGTAGTTCCAAAATCCACAGTTTCAGAAATAATTTGCTCCCATGTTTAATTGTTCACCGAGTTAAATTTGCTCCCCGTTTCACACGTGAATTTCCCTAGCATCAGCTTCCAGCCACTGGCTCTCATTACGCCTTTTTTCTGTGGAGTAAAATCTGCCAACTTTCCACACCCTTATCCCCATGAAGGCAGTTGTCGTCTTTTCAAGTGAATTCAGCGCCGGCCGAATGTGCAGAACAACAGTCCTAGAGATCTCCGTCCTCACTTTAGCCTGACCTGCCAGATCCCATTCCCCAGCAGGTCTCCATCCGCCTCCGTTGTCCTCCAGAAGCGTAACGCCACAAACATCATTAAGGAGACCTCCCCAGTGACCTGGGCTCATCCCACCCAACACCACCGTCCACTAGCAAGCCTCTGACGGGGGAGGAACTCGCCCTGTGCCAGCCGCTCCCAAAGCTCAGCCGGCGGTGAGCACGTGGCTCACAAGGCTGTTGTCACCCTCAGGAGCTTTGGTGGCCATCACACGGTGGCCCTGCAAATTTTACCGTGCGGCCTTCAGCCTCAGGTCTGATGAGCAAATGAAGAACCTCCCAAGGAGCATCCTCTTATTGACTGACATACTAGTCCTCTGGACACCCCTACTTCTCCTTGTAGGGAGGCCTCGGGCCACTGTTACCCTAATTTAGGTTTGCCAGGGCTGACTTTGAAGAGCTGCTCCTGATAGCGGTTGTCCTTTATCTATCACGCAGTGGGGCCCCAACCTCAGCTCAGGCATCTGTTACTGATAACCAGAGATGATTTATCCAAGCATTAGCCTGCGTATCTCGAGCATTTCACTGCGTGTGTTTCTGTCCATGCATGGTTTCTTTTTCCTTCTCTAGCTTCGGCATCAGCCCTTTCTGCTTCGTGCACGTGAAGGATGCAAACACGGACAACTCCACTTGTTTTGCTTACGTGGTTTCCTACCCCTCCCTCCAACGTACAGATTTTGCTTCAGCCAAACTCCGTCTGCAAACACATCCTTGCAGTGTAAGATAGTGGAGCAATTTGGATGCAGGAGGCTCCATTCAGATAGACTCAGAAAAAAACTTGCCGCGAATGTAAATTACTGTTACAGCACTGTCAAAAGAAGGATTCGGCATCAGTAGGAACTTTTGACGTTCTCTATTGTAACGCAAAAAGTCACAGCAGCAAGTGATTAAAACTGAAAACCTTCATTTCAAGGCTATCAGGACGGGATGTTTTGACAATCCAACTTCTACCCCACTCCCCCCATTTTTCTTTCCAAATAAAACTCTGGCAGACCCATCCCATTCTGCTAGACAGCTCAATTGGAGTGGAACTGCATATTTCAGCAGAACGCAGTTCCAGCAGAATTCCCCCAACCAGCTCTGCCTCAAAGCTATTCCCGTAACCGAGGGTGGAGAAAGCACCATCTCTTTATTTGTGTCTGCACAGCTGTGCTTCTCCTCTGCGTTCCCCAAAGCAGATAGGAACCAGCTGTGGGGTACGGGCTTCTTCGCGGCGGGGTTAGGCCATAGCAAGCGCACAAGGATATATTTTTATTTATTCTCCGGTTGCAAAGGGTTAGTTCTACTCTTTTGCCTTTAATTGCCTTAGGAGTAATGAGGTAAATGCTTTAAGGAAAAGCTTTCTTCAAAAGTAGCTTCAAGAAAATTATATTCTTTAATGAGTTTCAGGGTGGCTGTAAGGTGTCAGGCAAAGGTCTGCCTCCCAGTGCCCGGCTCCCGATCGTGGCCAGAAGCAGCTCCTTGGAGAAGTGTAAAGGGAAAATATATATATAACATATCCCCTGAAGTCTCTCCTCTGATTTTTATTCAGCTCAGGGACTTTCCAAACTGCCTGTGGTTTCTACATACCCGATAACCCTCAATAACTCAATAACCCTCAACGCATTTCCCTGCCATCAGTTTGCCTCGTGCCCTTGAATGTTGCCCAGCGTTAGCGTCAGCTCATGGGCACTTTTGGTTTCAATTTGTCCAGCAGAACTCCAAGTAACTAACTTCCTGCTGCATGGCTTGTTTTCATCTTTCCAATACTCATTTTTTTTCTTCTTGATCTCTCTCCTGCATTTCTCTGTCTACAAAGCTGAAACCATCTCATCGGTCAGGAGCGCGCGCGTGTGTGTGCGCGCACCCACGTTTCCTGAAGAAACTGAATTGTGTCTTTCTCTCTGCCAATAAAGTGATTTTATCTGGCTCTGCAGAGGACCCTAGCAGCTCTCCACTCTCTTAGTAGCTGACCCTACTACCAGTCTTGCAAGCTTTTGTTTTAATCGAAAAGACTGGGCCAGAATCCCCGTCGTTCACTAGGGCGTTGCTGTCAGTCCTCCCCACGGCACTGCCTGGCGCATTTCAGCGCC